CTGGGGCATAATGTCATATGGGAAAAGGAAATCGCAAAGGGATAGGAACACTACAATTTCAGGAAAAAAACATAAATACACATTCTGATGAATGATGTATGTGCCTTTGTATAGGTGTAACAAAAAGGCATGGAAAGTTACGTGCCCTCTTTGTGGACACTGGAAACTACCTGGGGGGTAGGTAGGACGAGGAAATGGGGGGGGCGGTGGCGAGGCCTTGGTCAGCCAGAGAGAGTCGCAGAGTCCGTGTAAATGAGAAGTGAGAGGGCGTGGATTTAGTGGACGGAGGGCGAGTGCTGAGCCCTTCTGAAGACTAATGGGGCGAAAGCCAAACTGAGGAGTTGGGGAGCAGGTGGGAAGTGGGAGAACGGAGCCAGTAAGTGTATGCGGCGCTTCCCACAAATCTGGCTGTGAGCAGGACAGAAAGTGGGATAGAGGCTAAGCAGGGCAGTTTTGTTCTGCTCCGTTCTAATTTGGGAGAGACCTAAGTATGTTAAAATGCTGCTGGGAAGGATCCAGCTGAGAGGGAGAAAGAGTCCAGAGGAGAGAGAAAGGACGGCATCAGAAGGGCAGATGTTGTCATTATTTTCACAATTGCTTCTTATGCTCTCATGGCCCACAAGCCCCCAGGCCCATTTAAACCTCCAGAGAAAGAGAACCATCCTTAGTAAAGCTTGGGCCATACAGACACTGCCACAGGCAGGCGACCGCTACAGTGGAAGGGTTTGAACGCGTCTCCCCCGGTGCTTTAAAGAAATGTATCACCTAATACAATTTTTTTTTTAAGATTTTATTTTATTTATTTGACAGAGACACAGCGAGAGAGGGGACACAAGCAGGGGGAGTGGGAGAGGGAGAAGCAGGCTTCCCGCGGAGCAGGGAGCCCGATGCGGGGCTCGATCCCAGGACCCTGGGATCACGACCTGAGCCGAAGGCAGACGCTTAACGACTGAGCCACCCAGGCGCCCCCCAATTTATTTTTGTATTAAGCATATGTCATATGTCCCCAAAGAGCTGCCGGTAGATCACAGGGCTCAGGAATCCCGAGGCCTGTGTCTCTACCACAAATGGCTCGTTTCCTTGTGACAGTTTAAGGTGAGGTGTCCAGCTCGTAAATGGAGAAGAAAGGCCTTCCTGTGCTATTTGAGAAGACGGATTTTAAAACAAATATTCTCCTCTCTTAACAAAACAGGTTTAAGTGCCAGAGGAGATCAGCCACCTGGTAAAGAGAGAGATTTAATTGCTGGTTGCCACATAAGTGACAATCAAATGCTCAGCCATTTCCTTCTCTAGAGATTTCTCATATATAAGAGTCATTCATTTGTTTATTCAACAAATATTTGAGCTCTTTGAAATCACATTACTCCAGGAAATAATGAGGAAGGGAGACAAAAGAAATCTAAAAGTACAGGTGGCTTAAAATACCGCCAAGAGTTTAAAATCTGGAGAGGTGAGGCCATCGTGATGGTGATGGCAGGGGCTCAGGGCTGTAGCACCACGCGGGCCAGGCACTGTCCTCGGTGCGGTACGCGTGCTCACTCGTCTGCGCACAACAAGCCTGCGAGAGCTACTCTTATTGGTCCCATTTCACAGACGGCGAAACAGAGAAAAGACGTCACTCGCCGAGTTCACACAGCTAATAAGTAAGTGGTGGAGCTCGGAATCAAACCCAGCTGGC